AACAGACTAACTTGCAATATTAAATGCTGCAAATATATACAAATTTTAAACGTTAAAGCATGTAATGAGCTAAAAATGACTAGTTAAATTCCATATTTGAAATTTTCTAATTTGTATATATTTTAGAAATTTACAGTTAAAAATTTTAATGGGTAAAAAAATTCCCTGTCCACAATGCAGTAGCCAGGATTTTCAAACAATGCGGGACAATATCAGTGTGGGCCCACTTTGTGTAAATTCAAATTGTGGACCCATTTTCTTAAAAGTTGACCCATTTTACGCAAAAATATGAAGAATCTGGACCCACTTTCTTAAAATAATTGTGTGGGACTGTCCCAATTGTCCCAATAGCTGGCTACGGCATTGCCTGTCTATACGGACAGTTTAATGCTCTCCTTCTTTTTGGATGGTAAACTATTAAAGGACTTTAACATTAAAATATACGGTAGCGAAAACTGTTTTTCGATCTGTTTCTTGTCAAGTTAATAAATTATGCCTTATTGATCCCTTTCAAATAACCTAAAGTACTCTAAATTTTAATTGAATTTTTGAAGTTTCCCTCTTCAAGAAAAGGAATCTGTGAGTGTTAAAGAAGTTTCCCGGCCAACCGGGATTCGAACCCGGGACCTTTTGCTTTCATGCAGTCGCCTTAACCAACTGGACCACTAGGATTTCGTTAAGAATTTAAATCCAAATTAGAAGAAAAAGGAAGTTCACACTCTTGAACATGCGTTCGGTGCATGACAAATAACGATCATAATACGGTCCTCATCTTAAACATTTTATAGGACAGGATTTAAATGATTGATGGATGAATGAATGAATGAATGAATGAATGTATGAATGAATGAATGAATGAATGAATGAATGAATGAATGAATGAATGAATGAATGAATGAATGGACGGACGGACGAATAAATGGATGCATAGATGGATGAATATAGCCAATTACGTTCCATTTTTCTTATGAATGAGACGTCCGGTTATACAATCTTAGGTGTTGCATCTGTGAAAAAAAAATTTCCCTTGCAGATGGGAATTGATCCCAGACCTTCAATCAGACAGACATTCTCAAATACGGTGCCTAAACATTTATAGATCTTTTTTTTTAACAGGGATGAATAAAGAATACACACGTGACAATTTTTTGTACTTTGTAATTTAATTTGTACAGTAACGGCATGACCTAAATTAAATTTTGTTTTTGGCAAATTGTTTTTATTATTATTTTTGTATAGATTTAATAATGAACATTTAGGTAGGTACAATATTTAATTTCAATTTACTATTAGCTCCAATAGGCTAATACTTTAATAATAGACATGTAAAAAATATACCTCTGTTCACACGAGGCTAGGCCAACGCCTCAGCTTACCATCTGCAAAATGACAACGATGATAAATTAATGACAACGATATCCGATTATGCTAACGATGATGATGATATGGTAATGCTGGTGGCACTGGTGGTGGTGGTGATGATGACGATAATTTGATGATGAAGTGGCGAAGCGGATGAGGAAGAGGACGAGAAAGAAATGGACAATGATATTTGATTGGTGCCGATATAATCATCAGAGACATCATTCATGGGTTGTTAAAAATATAGATTAATGGCAATGTCTAGATAATTTAACTTTCGGTTCGTTGTGTTGTAGGTTAGGCCCCATAAAAAAATTATTAGTTTATCACCCTATCAAAGAATAAAAACTGATGAGGGAGGGAGGTTTTTTTTTGTTTTTGTTTTTTGCTAATCCCGCCCCCATTTTACCGATGATCACAAGTAAATCAATGGTTAGACACATATATAAAAAGTCATAAGTATGGAATCAAATTTATATTTAAAAAATATGTTGTTGTTGTACCAGTAAGCGTATTTGCAAGAAACCCTGAGCTTTTCAAGTGAAAAAAGATGGAAAAAGGACCATTTAAAATAAAAATATATGTTGATTGAAAAAAAAAAAAAAATCAGATTTTCCCCAAAAGTGATGAGGGAGCGTGTGATAAACTAATAATTGTTTTATGGGGCCTTAACAGGGTGGATCCAGATATTCCCGAAAGTCGGGGGGAGGGGGACGGGACGAAAGTGGGGCCGATCGAGACGGCACTACCATACGGGGGTCCGAGGCATGCCCCCGCAAATTTTTTGTTTTCTAGACGCCCGAAAAAACCTCTGAGGCATTTTGGGCGATCAAATATTTCTTTTTTTTTTTTCTTGCTTTTTTCCCCTTTTACAATAGGGGACGGGGACGGGGCCTGGGCAGCCTAAATCCGTCGCTGGTTAACACAGGAAAGTATACAAAGTGCCTCCTTCAATACACATCTCCTGCTAATACTGTACAATAATCTGTTTGCACTCTCAAACACAGAGAGACCAATTTCTTTATCGCACTTCAAGTGTGATAATTTACCCGCTATCAGTTCATATTGGACTACAACTATGTATATTTGAAAAATGTTCTTTCTACTGCGACATCTGATACTGGGTGTTTATCAGCTGTCTTGTTTGTTATGGTTACTGTAGTCAGCGTTGCTAATAACAACAGAAATTGATAGTGAATATTAGGCTCGATACTATCACAGGTCATCGTGCTACAGATTTTCTCATAACTCCACCATTCCGCGTTTCAAGTGTGCATGAATTCTACCCCTGCTCATACTACAGCTACACTACGGTACACCTCCTCACCTCGTGCGCGTCACCCGTCCGTGTGCCGTGAGTAACAATCATTTAATTTTTATTTATTAATGAGTAGGCCAATTGTCTGCCGAACGTTATTGAAAAAAATGCACAATGATATCCGATTTCGAACCATATTATAAGGCCGTCGCATTGCTGCACATCGGTAAAAAAAATACTGTACAACGAATTATAAAAATGAAAAAGGCGAGTATTGTAGCAAAGGTGGCGCAGGATTTGCCCGACGGGGTCCGGGCCCGGGGGGGGGGGGGGGGGATGTCCACGACGAAAAAAAGTGGGCGTGGTCGCGGGCATCGCTCAAAATCTCTCGAAAGTGTTCCATGGGGCGAAATTAGGAGTTTCAAAGTCTTATTTGATCGATTTTAGTGACTAATAATATATGTAGAAAATACATATAGGCCTACATTTTATTTCTCCCAAATCAAATCTCCATTTTCAATTCTGGGAAGTGAACAGTGATGTTACTGATCTGTCTGAGCAGCTAAACATTAAAAAAAATAAATATGTATATTTGATGTGGGCCTATTATTACAAATTAGAACTAGCAAATAATATGTCTCTTGCCAAACAGACGTATGCATAATTATCGTATCTCATTAAACTTAATTTTAAGCCCAATACCGTATATCTTGCGACCCCCTATTTCTTCACCGTCGGAATTCCTACTTTGCTTTCTCTTGGTCTTGATACTGTATCTCTGGCATAATCATAACCTTGTTTCCCCGCATATAAAATTGCGTTCAACATAAATGCAATAAATTTGCGTGTTACGGACAATCCGCAATTAAGACGAAGATGATTTATAAATCAAAAATTTGTATGTGTTGCGAGTATTAAGACGACACCCTGTTTTTTGCGATCGTACGACTTGTACGCGAAAATATCCGCCATTTAATTTATTTAATTATTTAAACTAAATGAGCAATTATTTTAATAGAGAGCCTTAGGGAGTGGCACTGGAGCTGTGTTTTAGTTGTGAGAAAAATCCTGCAGTGATGACAGGGTATGGACCAGGAGAATAGGATTGGAAAGCAAGCATCTATACCAAGCTACACCACTCAGTACACCCAGGATGGCAGTGGTAGGGGTGCCAGCGACTTCTGGACACCCTGACTTCTGCCTTAGGGTGAAATAAGATACAAATTATAAAGTGCATATGTCGGTTGGTCGCATTCGACGTTACTTCAATCCAATTTTGTAAGATGAAAAATCCTTTACAAGACAAGACAAGTGGTCAGAAGATGTACAGTAACAAAAAACAATCCATATAAATACATCAAACCACAATCACCTAGCGTTTGCATTGGGAGACATTCTTGAAATTACCGTAAAACCCGCCCCTCTCGAAAACTCGATTGACGCCTTCGTATTTGTCATTACGGATTATAGCCCATGATGGCTCAAAAAACAAATTCATTTGAGTAATTGATTAAAAAATGAATAAAACTTATTTTTGTGTTTTTTTTGTTGTTGTTGTTGTTTTGTCTTGTTTTTTTTTTTTTTTTTTTTTTTTTCTGGAGGCAACGAAGAATACAAATTTGCCTGTTAATTTCGCTGCCTAACAGTGTTTCCGCCCGGAAGTGCACGTTTCTCATCAATCATCATCATCGTCGTCATCATCATCATCATCATCATCATCATCATCATCATCATCATCATCATCATCATCATTATCATCATCATCATCATCACCGTCATCGCATCATCATCATCATCATCATCATCTTCATCATCATCATCATCATCTTCATCCTCATCATATTTTAGCAGTATTTCGATAGCCCATATTTTATAGACCTAAACATCAATACATTTCATAGTTACCAACTTGAGAGATTTGAAATGCGTGAGTGACTATACCAGTTGGCTGGGGTGGGGGTCCAAGCGACAGGGGAACCACCCCCCTCCCCCACCCAACTGGTGCAATACAGGTACCGGTACATAAGCAAAAATATTATAAAGCCAATTTGAGTTTCAATGTAGGCCTATGTTTAATTTGAGCACCCGAACTATGTAGACCTACACAAACATATCATTACTGATCAATGTTTATTACCGTAACTCGTTAGTGAAATAAGTAGGGCCTTCAAGGAAATACTGTACTCTCCTCATGACTTACTGCATCACCGTTTTTATAGTTTTAATACCACCAATTTCTTCTAATTTTAAATACATTTTCCCCTGAATTTGTGATAAATCGTTATCACGCATAGACAAATTTAGGATCACGCATGTGTTTCTGCAAAATGTTTAATCAAAAATCACTTTGAAAAGCGGGAACGTCCCACACGATGCGAGACGGTTGGTAACTATTTTAGTCATGAAACAAAAATAATTATTGATTACACCAAGGAGGCATAAAAATAGACTAGCATGAGTTAGACAGCATGTTATGATAACTACAAAACGTCAGTTTTCGATAGTTCGTGAAAAGATACCAATACTTATTTCCGCGTGTCTGCGTTCCTAGAAGTGTTGCCATGCAACCTTCTTGTGGCCGCCTCGGTAATGCTATTTCGCCACAGCCTTGTCGAATTCATAATTTGCCATACATCGACTTCCAATAATGTACATACTATACAGTAATTGTATTATTCATGTTACCTAAGGGTAGATTGTGTAGTAAATTCGCAATCGATAATACAGATACTGTACCCTACGAGGCCCATGGAAGCTGGGATTGAAAAGGGGAAAATGATTTGGCATACGTTATTTGACTGATCATTTGCCTTAATCTAAATATTGGCCAATTTGTAATACAATGATTTCGAGTAAAAAAGCATTTAGTCCCAAGTTATCTCATTATTTATATCACATGTTTTCAGTGATGTGAATACAAATTTGCGCTCCGCTGCATGCTATCGATTCAGTAATTACAGAATACCTGCCACTTATAGTAGGCCTTGATTATATGGGTACAATAATTGAACTTTTTATTCTCTTTCACTGCAGAACATTATGGCTGATACAACTAACGATACAGAGGCTTTGATACCGGCTAGTAATGGAAACAATAACGAAGAACACGCCAAAACGAAGGAGGTAGGCAGTCACGAAGAACACGTAGAAGTCGAGAAAAACAATGAACAAAAACAAGATGAGGAAACTGAAAAACCAGAAGTCCAGACTGATGTGAAGAATGATAATGGAAAAGATGGAGGTCAAATAGAAAATTGTGATGCAAATACGGATGATAATTTGGTGAAAGTTAAAGAAGAAAATGATGTTGAAAATGACACTTCGAGTAAGAATGACAATCAAACGGATGAAAAAAACTCAGATGAGGCGAAGGATGAGGAAACAATCCAAGAAACAGACGATAAAGTAAATATCAATGAAGCAAACGAAGACCAAACGAATGAATCCTCCGTCACGTCGACGTCGGAACCTGCTGAGATGGGTTCTGAAACTAAAACAGACGACAATACAAACTCAACACAAAACGATACAAATCTGGAAGAAATGGAACCTGAAGAACTTAGGAGAAAAATAAGCGATTGCATATTAAAATCAGATACTCTTCAAATTGAACTAGACATGGCTCATGCTAAAGTTCTTGAACTAGAAGACAAAGTTAAGACGATGAGCGAAAAGAGGAAGAAAAGTTCAGAATCTATGTCCAGTAATGAAGCTCGGGAAAAAGCGAAACAACGAGATGGACTAGCTTTCCAAGCTGACTATTTTGCGCGGGAACTATCTCAGCAACAGAACACCGAAGCATACCTGAGAGAAAAATTAACCGAGACACTTGAAGAGAAGGAGGAATTGGAAAGGAAGAATAAAGACTTGCAGTTACGATTAAAGAGATTTACAAAGGACGATCAAGCTAAAGACGAGAGGATAGCAAGAATGGAGAAAGAGTTGCATGATATTAACACCGAAGTACAAGAAATGGAAAAGTTGATTGATCAATCGTCACTAGTTAAAATTCAAGAGATGCGACACAATAGAACCTCAACCGCACCAAATGGTGAAACTCTGCCTCAAGCTTCAGTCGGCAGACAACAAACAGCACCTTCGCCTACGTCAAAAACCTGCGTCATAATATAATGTTGTGTCAATGCGGATTCACTGTGAAATCTTGAATGCAACTTCAAGTTTAGAGTTGCTAAAAAGGACGATTTGTCATTCCTGCTTCTGGTTACTCTATAGATGTCGTGTTATATTGCAACATTGACTACATATTATGAGAATCATTGTGATTGGCTGAGGGAGTAAATGTCATGTCTTCTGAAGTCTGCAATGTGCTACTACAAGTGAAAGATATTAAATTGTGACAGGAAATATGGAAATTATCCTAACGCTTCTAAATATTTCGATCGTCGCGGTCGTCATTATCTTGTTAACCATGAACATTATCATAAACGCATTTCATATTATCTCTGACGTCATAGGTAGATGCATTTTGAAAAGCGGTGCTGTATAAGATAAAACTTTGTTTCACGAACTCAAATGCAGAAAACGTGAAATTTGGTAATACATTGTAAATATGACTCAAATTATTATGCCTGTTTGAACAAATACTCTTGTTCGGAGATAAAGAACAAAAATGACTGTATGACATCAGTCTAAAAGAATCATGGTGGTGTATGTAGGTATACGATTGAATGACGGGGAGTATTGGGATGAGGAGTTGATGAACGAAATTGTATTATTTAGTCTCACCAAAGTGATTATTTTAATTTTATGCAAAAAAAAAACCAAACAAACAGCATATTTAATATCAATACTTGTATACAACATTTTACCTCATTGCTAATAGAGCTTTACGTACAATACGTTCCTGTCTGTATAATATGCCCCTACGTTATAAGTACCATTCCTTCGATTTTAACTAAGCTTTAATTGTGTTTATTCTTGTATATTTATAATATAATAATCGAGCCGTCACTTCTGGCCTTTATGGGTCGGGAGCCGGGATTGCGCGCGAAAGTGACAGTACAGAAGGACGCCTCTGTTTCTGCATAGAGAAAATAGAACAATGGTTTCTGCAAGAGGCTTTTATGTTACAACCCAATAGTCCAGCCATGTCGAGCTAACGTTCGGTTAAAAGTCAAACTTAGCCTTCTAGCAGATTCTCTGAAAAGTCCTTGAAACACTTCTCACGCATCTGCTCAAAGATTCAATTTATTTATATATCAAATATTAGGTGCTATTGCAACACTATTTATAATATTAATATTTCCAAAATCTTTGTTCACGATATGAGTTGTTCCACAAGACTACCCCATAAATTGAAGTTTAAGTATAAAACAATGCACAGCGCATCCTGAAAACTAAACTTCAAACATTCGTGCAGATAGGCCTACTTATCTGACAATACCGATAATATCTGGACTTCGTTTTCTTAGATCATCTGTGTGCTATATTAATCGCTTGGCATATACGTATATGTAAATTCTTGTAATATTAATTTATCATCAGTCGCATTGTTTAGCTTCGTAGTAATATAGATTCAAATAGAATTGTGCAATTATAGGCCTATATACGTCATTCAAACAACCATTTGTCTTCCGATAAATCTGACCAATTATCCTGGATAAAAGAATATCGTAAGAATGCATAAACTATCTCAACAGTACATCGAGATAATGATATATGCATATAATATGCTTATATTATTAGCCTATATACTCTCTAGCGACGGCGATAATATTTGTTAAAGATATACAATACATTGGCTGTTATGCTAATGAACTATTAAAAATATAATTTAATTTTTGAATTCCCTACTTTTTTATACTGAAGTAAATTATTAGCTCTCAATTAAACATTAGGTCAAGGTAATATTCTTCTATAATTCTCTTCCAGTCCCTGGTAATCAAATCAAATCAAAATTTATTCACTTCCTCTTGAATGAATACAATTGCAAGATATTTTTTTAATAAGTATAAATTAAATATGAGGAATAAATCAACTGAATAATTTTCGTAGTAAAGGTAATTTGTTTTCGAGACTGTGTTTCATTTATAACACTGAGTCGAAAACAAATTAATAATTTTACTTAGTTTCAACATTTTAGATGAACCATTAAATATAAATCTTTATGAGTTATAATATTACAATAATTAGAAATTTATAACGTGTTAATCAAATCAAATTTATCAAAGGCAATATATATCTAGAATAATTTCGTTGTTTCTAGATTTTTCCTGAAACTAAATTTCGCAGGATAGTTTACACCTCAAACAATTATGTTGCGGTGGTGCTTCTTTGATTAGTGGTATCATGTATATGTACGTACAATGTACAGATATATATATATATATATATATATATATATATATATATAATTTTATATAACTATTTTTTAAGTGGCGTATGTTTGGGTGTCTGCGGGACTGGAAGGTAGAGTGCTGTGGGATGGAGATTTTCCCCGGAGAGCACACTCAAGGCTCTGAAGTAGTAGGATCGAGAAGTGGACCCCTCTGGAGACAACTGTTGACCGAGGAGGCCCGGGCCACTGTTTTCTGTATTGAAGTATGATCAAGTAGCTATGTTCGTTCTTCTTTTTCCAAATCTGTCCGAGTCCAAACATCAGGTCGCACTATACTATTCCAATTGACCACCATGTGTCATATTTAAAGTTGCATTTTGTATAATATTGTATAGGAAAGTGCGAGTTTGATAAAGGCAAACCTTTTTTTATATGAAAGTAGATACTGTAATTAGAAACCAATTCCATTGCAAAATATATGTAAATAAAATCAAATGGTTATAAAATCTGGTGGTTTTATTTATTTCTGTGAATACTATTTCATACGCAACGAAATTCAGTAAATGTAAGTGGCAAGAAACCAAGAAGACTGGACCTGCTGTGTCTGTAGTATCGAATTAACTTGCGTATTTTAAGCTACAGGATTAAATAATATATTTAAACCGAAACTTTATTCTGAAACGAAATGAAATCTAACTCTAATTTATAGTTGTCCTCTTAAGCTGTTTTTGAGGTGTGTGTGTGTGACGGGACTAGTCTGGAATTGATTTTGAAAGTGAAATGCACTTTAAAACAAGAAATAAGTGGTGATTAAATTATAAGTTATAAAAGTATATTATAATAGTTATTAATGTAATAAAAATATTTGTCAATGTCCATGTTCCCATTACAGCTTTATTTTATTAGATTTTTTTGCATAGTATGATTCCAAACCATCTTTGGTTCATTATTCTTTCTTTAGCATGTGAGGCCTACCTATATTTTTCTGAAAAGGCCAATACTGTACATGTATATACTATTTTACCTAAACTCAATAGGTCATATTTGCTTTTTATACAAATCAAACAGCTAGGCCTTCGTTTGTTCCACTTTAAAAAATCTAAAGCCGGAAACAGCCCACCCTGAACATTTAAACACCTATAGAATGTATGCTCGGTTTCTCAGGGGAACGTTCTATAATGATGCAGATCAGAGCTTTGGTATTCGAACTTACCAGACACCCATTGTACTGTTGCAATGAAACAAGCAATGTAATGCGTTATAACATATACACTTGTGAACTATGACTCCTAAATTCTTTCAAATTTGAGTCAGTTCTTTTCAAGAATTTAGAATTTGCAAAGGCATCACCTAGGTTAGATCTAAATTAAATTCAATAGCATGTTACTATATCGTTTAGTTTTCAACTTCATGTATACACAAAAGCTCATTTGAAATTGTTTTAAATGTTAAGGCATGGGTAAATAAATGTAAATAAAATATATAAGAGGAGTGGACGAGTGAGTGAATAAATAAAGAAAATTAACGACTGGGCTGATATTAATTTGTCCATATATGAGTGAAATAGCATATTTTTATACATTTTAGTTTCCAAATTCATGTAATATACAGAGGCCAAAAGGAAATTAGTTGTAATAAATAAAATATATCAATAAAACATGGTGGCCCATAGCTAGCAAAGCGACGTTGGCAAGCGTCGGTAAGTGTCGGGGTCGGATATCTGACGTTGGTACGACGTTGGAGATTGGTTGCAAAATTTGGTCGGAGAGGTAACGTCAAACCAACATTGGAATTTCACGTTGGCCCAACGTATGAATATATTTGTCGATTTTCCGATGTCGTCCCAACGTTGGTAAGCCGTCGTAAATATTCAGTCTGACTATGGACGTTGGTACAACGTCACG